TTTATAATATTAATTTTAAAAAATTAATTTAGAGCTTTTAAAAGGCTTAAGTTAGTAGTTCTTATTATCTATTACTAAGTTATTATATTAACTTTATTTTAAAGTATATATAATATTTATATCTTATAAGAAGTATTTTAAAGAGGTTTATATTAATATCTCTTATAGTAGTAATAGTTACTTCTTTAGATAGATATTTTAGATAAATATAAAAAGTTTAGTAATTTAGCTTAAGAGAGCTAAATTTATTATTTTAGTTAGAAAGATAGATCTAAAGTTAAAGGATTTATATATTTTATTTAAAATTAGTAATAGCTTTAGATATATCTTTATAAATTAAAGTATTATTTAGATTATTAAAATAAATACTTATTTTCTAAAAAAGATTAATACTAATAATTTATATTATATTATAAAGTTTATAAAGAGTATTATATAGTTTAAAAGTAGTTTTTTTATTATTTAGCTTAATAGTAATTACTCTAGCTATATTAATAACTTAGCTAATTTAGTTTTTTCTACTTATATAGTTTATAGTTAATCTTTAAAGGAGATCTTAAAAGTCCTTAAAGATAGAGAGATTATTAAAGATATACTTATTAGTATTAATATTTAGTATAAAGGAGTTTATCCTCTTAATAGAAGCTATAAATATAATATATTAGCTTAGTTATACTTTTTAGCTATTATTTTCTTTTTTATTAGCTTTTTTAATAATATTATATATAAAGAAACTATTAGTCTTTATTTTAATAATTTAGTTAGTAGATCTATAGATAGAGAGTTTAAACTTCTTTATTAGTTACTTTTTAACTCTTTATATATAGTTAACTTTATATAGATCTTTAGTAAGAGATTAAAAGTTAAAATATAAACTAAATATTTTAAAATTATCTATTAAGAGTAGTAAAAAGGTTTTCTTTTAAGCTTAAATATAAAGGTATTTAGGGGCTATAAGCTATAGTTAGGTTAAACTAATAGAAGAAGCACCTAAAAAGTAAGTATAGTATTATTATACTATTTTTACTTGCTTTTTCTAAGATCCTCCTCTCTAAACCTTTTATAAGTACTTATTAATTCCTCGCTATAGAGGGCTTTATACCTTAGACTTATAGGCTTCTCTATCCTTTTAGCCCCTATTAACTAAACTATCCCTAAGGTACTCTACTCTATAAGCTTAAACCCTTATATTAAACTATTAAAATATCTATATAAGCTTTAGATTAGTAGTTAATATCTTATTTAATACTAAAGTTTCTAAAGATATTATCTTAAGTTTAACTTTTTAAAGTAAATATTAAAATAAATATTTAAGTTATTAATTACTAAGTTTATAATTTATTAATATATTTAAATTTATTATATAATAAAGTATAATATTTATAGTATTTAAAGGAGTATTTATTATACTTATTAAAGTATAAAGTTATCTTTTTATAATAATAGTTATATATCTTATACTTATAAAGATCTTTAAAATACTTAATATTATATAAAATATAAGGATTTTATATCTTAGTATTCTTAGATTTAGAAGCTTAAGTTTACTTCTTTATAATAAACTTCTTTTTATTTAATAAAGTTTTAATATTTTAAGAAGTTTATTTATATTATTCCTTTTTACTTAAGCTTCTAAGTTTTTATAAGAAGTTATTATTAAGGCCTCTAGCTAGCTACTATAACTTTTACCTAGAACCTATACTATAACGACCTCTAACTTCACCCTTTAGCTAACAGCTTACTGGTTATGTGATCGCCCTGGATTTCTGCTCAGCTAGACAGTCCCACAGATCGCTATCTCTTTAGCCCTATTTCCCCCACACGCGCTTAGGTGCGCTATCTATTAGACAATCTTATCACCTTTAACATCACTTCGATAATAACTTCATAACTTTGACTAGGTTTAATTACTATAGTAGACTTTCTCTAGCCTTCTAACCTATCTACTAACTCTTATGCACACCCTCTATCGTTAAGCTTAGCCGTCTTTTCTGCTGCTTATACTGCATACGCCCTCTAAGATAGACGTCTATTGTGACGTTTTCAGGGGATATAGTGCTATTGCTATCTATATTTATTAGTAACGCTTATGATGTCATAGTTAGCTTGGTTAACTTACTAGCTATACTGCCCTACTAAAGATATCGTTAAAGTAAGTATAAATGCTAGGATTAGTAGTAAATATATTTATATTATTAAGTAAGAAGCTTTACTGAAGTAAGTGGGCAGCCTCTATACTATTACTGCTAAGGTTAGCTTCTAAGACCTTAAAGTAGGACCTAGCTATAGCTATCTAGTCCTTAAAGCTCTATATATTAAAAGGCGTTATCTTATTAATCGCTATAAGCCTAGCCCTATAGTTAATATTAATCTTAGTGTTTTAGGGCGTGCTTTAAGTAAAGCTTTATAGTATAAGATCCTATAGATTAAGTAGGATAGAATATATTATAAAGGAATCTAGGTAGTTTACTTAGTGAGGAATGGGTTTAAGGCTTAGCGTAAGTAGTATCTTAAGTACGTAGCTAAGACAAGCTTTTCTATAGCTAAAAACCTTATAAAGCTATCTCTACGTAAGTTATATAAGTGAGGCTATTAACCTTACTAGTAATAAAGCTATTATTAATAAGGCTAACAGCTATAATAAGTAAGTTAAGGTTAGCGTAGGCAGTTATTCCAGACCCTTAAGTATATATACTGCGAAGCTACTAGACTAGGCATTAACTGAGGTGCTTTTACTGCTTTTTCTCCTACTGTGAAAACCCCTACTAGGTAGGCTTAAAACTTCCTTAATATAAGAAGTTATTATAGCTTTAAATCTTTATAATAAAGTTATTCTCTATAAAGTCTACTTTAATTTAATTAAAATATCTAAAACCTTAAATAAATCTATAATTAAAAACTATAGTTAATAAACTTATATTAAAACTATTTAGTTTATTAAAAGTTAAATAAAGATCTTATATAAAATCCTTAGTATTATTATAGTTAACTTTAGTTATTTTATTTTAGTTATTATAGATTTTACTTATAACTAGTTTATTAAACTTCTAAGTATATTCTTTAGTTTTAATAAAGATATAAAAAGCTAAAACTATAATAAAAAGATTATTATTAATTATTTTTTTTAAGAGATTATATTAAATCTTCTCTATAAGTAATTATCTAATAAATATAAAACCTATAAGTATTAAATTACTTAAAAAGCTTAGATCTTTAACTATTATTACTTTATCTTTTTTAAAAACTATATCTCTATTATATTTATTTAGTATTCTTTTATTTACTAAATAGAAAAATAATTTTATTACTTTAAAAGTATTCTTAAGATTAATCTCTTATAGTTTAAAGTTTATAACTTTAGTTAGCTTAAAGATAGTATTATATATTAAACTTCTTAGATTTAATCCCTTACTAATTACTTTCTATATAGCTACTTTAGCTATAAAGTTTATAATAAAAGAAGAGGTAAAATTAAATTAAAATAATCCCTTTTTAATAAAACTAAAAGAAAATAAAGTTAGATTACTAATTAAAGATATATTAATTTATTTAATTAATTTAATAGTTTAAAAAAGGTTTAAATAATAGTTTTATATAATTATTAAATAGTTATTAAATAGTTATTATTATATAACTATAGTAAATATTAAATAATTATTAACTTTAGTAGTTTAAAAGTTAAAGAGATTTTATAAATAGAGGATATATATTATAATAGCTATAATCTCTATTTAGAAATATTATTTTTAGTAATTTAGTAATCTATTAATTACTTTTTAATAATTACTAAACTATAAAGTTAGAATTCTAATAGCTAGTTAAAAATAATTTTACTATTTAGTAAATAGATTTAAGTATTTAGAGAGTTTATAACTTATATAAAGTAGCTTAATTAATCTAGCTATAAACGCTAGGCGTAGCTAGCTATAAAGTAGTGTAGCTGATCCCTTATATAAAGGTGGGATTTAGGCTGGGATTCAGGCCTCAGGCCTAAGCCTAGCTAACTACTATCTCATAAGATAGCTAACCTATTAAGAAAAGCATCCCACTGCCTAAATAGAGCATAGGTGACCTCAGTTCTCTCAGTTTAGCCAGTAACTATTAACACCTCACCACCATTGTCAGTGCGTAATGGAAGACTTGGGTCTGAGCGCGAATAGGCATCATCGGCGTCTAGCCCCGTGACGTAGATGTGCCTAGTGACATCCATATCACATATTGCGGCGTTCAATAGGCACACACACCCAGCGCCCACCCCAAGGCAATCAATCAAGTTTGAGGCCCATAATTGACTTGATTGCCAGATCGCGATGCTATACCTGATTGATTGCTAATTAATTGCAAGTAACTAGCAAATATCCCTATGTATAGGGGGGTCTAGGGGCCTAGAGGGGGGGGCTCTAGATGAGAGGACTCTAGGGGAGAGGATTCTAGAGGGGAGGGCTCTTGAGGGGAGGGTATTAGAGGGTAGGGTCCGGAAGGTTAGGACCTGGGAGGGTAGCCCCCGGAGGGGAGGCCCCTAGAGGGGGGCCGGAAGGGGGGCCCAGGACCGGGTTTTCGGGGCCAGGCTAGGGCTTTCGGAGCCGAGGGTCCGGCTGGATTAACGATTTCCTAGATTTTCCGGGTCCTCTAGCCCTTAAGGCGTCCAAGGCCCCCCTAAGGCCCCCCCCGGCGCTGTCAAAAGAGTCAAGGTAATCAATTAATTGTGACCCTCATAATTGACTTAATTGCCTCGCAATAGCTTCATAATTGTTTGATTAGTTGATTGAACTTGACAAGTTTACTTGCCTTGCGGTGGGCGCTGCACACACCATTGTCATAACATGTTGTGATGCTACTTGACTCAAAGCCTACATAGAAAATAGTACAGATTCATGCTTCACATCTCCATGCCCAAACTCTGCTTTTCCATGCACAGATTCTACTCGTTGACAGACACTTTTCCCCATATGCCCCACGGCCAATGGATATCAAAGTCTCTGTCGACGTCTTCGACTGATTTAATCAAATGGCAGGTCCGATTGGTGACTGTTGTCGCATAAGAGGTCAAGCCAGCTGCCCGAAGCCGGTTGGAAAGACTTGGATTCGCGACACCACCAACCCTCTTTCCAATCATCCATTTTCCAGTATTTGTGCTCTCTGACCAATGCCTCTGGTTCCAAAGCTTTGCCCACATCGAAATTACATCTGACGATGGAGTTTCCAGATGCAATCTCCCGTATTGCTTGAGGAAAGTCCTCAAACAAGTACCACATGTTATCTCTGCCGCAGGACTCCCCGCGGGCGCGTGACCGGAAGTTGTGTCTTGGGTCGCTGCGCCTCTCACTCCAAGACAACGTAGGGAGAATCTTACGCTCTAAACAGAGATCAACGGCCGCCTGCCATGCGGCATCCCGTTGAACGACGCTCTGAAAAATCCGCGGGCAAACCGAGTCTCCCTCCAAAACCAAAGAAAATGAACCAGCCGGCATGCCGGCGCGTTCGAGCTCAAGTGCTTCAAGCACCCACACCGCCACACAGTCTGAAATTGATCGCGCGGGGAGATAGTCCCCTCTTTTGGTAGGCATAGTATGCCCAGGCTGCCTATTTCCAGTCATAGATTGGAAAACAGTCCGCCACATGTTGGCTCGACGTTCCACATGAAGGCGCGGATTTTCCTGACAGTATGGGATAAGACCCAAACCGTGACTTTCAGCACGACCAACAGCGTACCTATTTTCATCAAGGACAATATTCCGTATGCTCAGGCGACATACCAAGGGCAGGGATGCGAGGAAACGTATGGCGACAGCCGCAGCGGAGTAGTGGTACTTGACTTGACTTTTGTCGTAAGGGTCGTTATGGCTCGGATCCCATTCCTCGGAGAAGTATTCTTCAAAAGGGGTCCCCAGACTTCGTATCAAATCAGTGACACATTGGGGGGAGAACGGAATCATCCATGGGTCGGGATTGACGTTGACAAGGCTTGCAATTTGAGCTTCCATGAAACGATATTTACTCCAGCCCGTTTCGAAGAGGGTGAACTGCTTCTCGCCAAAGCGATGCCTGTGCTTCAGAAGAGTCTGCAGAACAGAACGAACCCACTTGCGCGAAGTCGATGGTGTTTCGCCGCAGGAACCTGGAGGCCCTATTGTTGGCGTAGTCCTTGGGGCCCGTTCTCGATGACCATCCTCCATAATCTGCCAAGCGTTGGATCGAACCCTGAGCAAATGCACATATGGTGCGAATTTCGGATCAATGTCGGAGAGGTCTTTCCAGATGTCTTCGGTGATGCTGAGGACATCCGGGAATATTTCATTCACCTTGCTATCGCGACGGCGGTGCAGGAGGTTCAAGAACGTATCAAAGCGTCCAGCTGTGATTCGATGCTCCTCTGAACAGACAGCCGAAAAGTTGAGAACATTAGCTGATAAAGCTATTCCCCTAGCTTCCCTCGCAACCCGCTTGCAGGTGAGCATGAATGTGAGATCGATCGATTCTCCATTAGCGCACTTGAGCTTGTTCCTACTAAAGTCGAGGATGTAGCCGCCGTCGGAGTAGACGCATTGCACGTAAATCAGATCCCGCACCTCGCGTGGAAGATCGAAAAAATGAATCATAATGTCGAGCGTATATTGGAATGATGCTGATGTCATCAATAGGAGCTGGAGTGAATATAGAGGAAGGATGGTACCAAAGAAGGCAAAGGCGCATGCATCATTGAGGAGGCGAGCCAAGTATTTAAGGACAAAAGATGGAGCGGATTAAGCTCTCTCCGAAGACCCGGAGGTCCCTTGAAGGACTTGTGAGTCACAACCCAAAGTATGCAAGAAACAAAGCTTACATTACAATCAGGCGTAAGAAGAGAGTACAAGGCAGTCACAGCGTCACCGAATATCATCATTGGAACAGTTTTGGGACCAAGTATCCATTTTTTATGTTGAGGAAGTTTCGAGCCCACCCAGTAGGGGTTTTCACAGTAGGGGAAAAAGCAGTAAAAGCACCTCGGTCAGTGCCCAGTCCAGTAGCTTCGCAGTATACGTACCCAAGGGTCCGGAATAACTGCCCGCGCCGACCCCAACTCGCCCTGGATGAAAAGAGGTTAGCTTCGGCTGTCACGAGACAGAAGAGGGCTTACCGCGTACAAGCGAAAGCATCTGGGCCAGACGTACATACCATTGTGGCTGTCAGCCTCGTTGACTGGCAGAAATCAGTCCACGCACATCGGTCAAGGTTTGCATAACATACCGATGGCTTCGTTGCCAGCAAGGTTAACAGCCTCGCCCGCGTGACTCACGCTGCGCTGACGAACATCAGTCGCTACCCAACAGCAGGCCAGCAAAAAAAGAAAACTCACAGCGAGACACGTACCAGAGATGGCTTCACAAGGTCTTCAGCCACGGAAAAGCTTGTCTTGGCCACGTACTTAAGACGCCGCTGCTTGAAGAACATGTCAGTGCCAGCCAAAAATTTCAAGTCGCAGGGGTCAATAACTTGCCTCGCGCCAAGCCTCGAGCCCATTCCTCACCCTCAATCTCAAGTCAATACCACCACTTCAGACAGGTGTGTGAGCACAGAGTGTCACACAAAACGTTCGGCATACCTACAAGCAAACCACCCAGATTCCTACACCTTACCACGTCAGCTGATTCAATTTCTAGCAGAGTTTAACGACTTACCTTCACGATGTGTTCCATCCTGCCCGATCCATGGGATCTCATGCCGCAAGGCTAAAAGGTGTGAGACATCTAGCAGATTGTGAATAATTAGGTAGACAAACCTTTGCCCGAGGCACGCCCCAAGACACCAAGATCGATACCAACCACAGGGCCAGGCTTGCGGCGATCAGCAAGACGACGCCCTTCAATATGCAGAGCCCTAGGGACCAGATGGCTGTCATCCATGAGTAAGAAAAAGTACAAGCGCATAAGATTTAGGTATCTCGTACCTATAGCCAGGTCCTGCCTCGAGGTCCTAGAGGCTAACCTCAGCAGCGACAGCGCGGAGGCTGCCCGCCTGCTTCGGCAAAGCCTCTCGCTCGACGATGTGGACGCGTTTGCTGCTGATCCTGGCATTTGCGCCTACTTTGACGACGTCCTTGGTAGGGCGGCGTAGCCAGTAAGTTGACCAGGCCAACTGCTGCTCCAGTCTCAGTTAGCAAAAGACCGTGTTCTCAATGAGGGTTGTGACTCACTGACATCGCGGGCGTTGCTGACGAATGTAGACTGCTTCAAGACCAGTTAGTTCCAGGTGATTTCCCAGCAATTGCACAGAAACTCCTTACCAAAGACGTTAGCCTAGTCGACAGAAGGCTTAGACAGCTTCAGCCAGTCAGTGGAGTGTCAATGCTATAACACTGAAGGAGTTGCTCACTGGCGACGGCACCACGTCCCCCGAAAACGTCACGACAGACGTCCGTCTCGGAGGGCGTCTGCGACTGGCCAGTCAGCAGAGCTCTGTGCAGAAAGAAATGGAGAAGAAGTAGTCTCTCTCTCTCTCCCCCTCCCTCTCTCTCTCTCCCCCTCCCTCTCTCTCTCTCCCCCTCCCTCCCTCTCTCTCCCTCCCTCTCTCCCTCCCTCTCTCTCCCTCCCTCTCTCTCTCTCTCTCTCTGGGTGTGTGTGTGTGTGGAGGAGGGCAAGTGTGTGAGAGTGTGCCATGGAGGACCACACTGAGGAAAGACGGAAGGAAAGATGCCAGAAAATCAAAGACAGAAAAGAACGACGCCCGTACTTACATGCAGCGTAGGCGGCGGAAAAGACGGCTGAGCTCTGATCATCATCAGCAGTGTCGTTCGATCAATCATCCGCTAGCAGTGTGGGCTTACTGACGACAGAGGGTGTGCGTGAGGGTCGGTAGATAGGTCGGAAGGCTGGAGAAAGTCTGCTTCTGAAGCGGTCAGCATCATCATCATCATGGACGAAGAGGGAGGGAGCGACGAATAGACAAACCTGTAGTAATTGAACCCAGTCAAAGTCGTGAAGTTGTTGTCGAAGTGACGTTGAAGGTGATGAGATTGTCTGATGCTTCGAGAGAAGAACAGGTCAGCGACATTGGGAGAGCGAGAACGGAAGAGACGGGGAGGCGGCTGACTGACGATGGCGCACCTAAGCGCGTGTGGGGGAAATGGGGCCGAAGCTGGCTGGGGAAGCACTGGTCAGCAGGCTGTCTATATCTGAGGGACATGAACGAAAGAGCGTGTATGAAAGCTCACAGATGGCGATCTGCGGGACTGTCTGGCCGAGCAGAAATCCAGGGCCTGCGGTCAATGAGAAGATCCGACGATCGGGGAGAGGGAGGGGATGACTCACGATCACGTGACCAGTAGGCCGTTAGCTGAAGGGTGAAGTCGGAGGTCGTTGCAGTACAGGTTCCAGGTAAAAGTCACAGTAGCTGGCCAGAGGCCTGAGAGGCAGAACATGGTTAAATTGAAGAACAATACCAGGACTAGCCATACACAAGACGAAAGATCTCCTTGGTCCTCCATGGCGGCGAAGGGCTCTCACCATCCTCTTCCTCCACCAAGTTGCCAAATGCGGGGTTCGGCATGTGCTTTGCCGTCCATCGAAACTGCGGGATACCAAAGTAGCGGATGGCGAAGTCTGCAGCGGCCCTGGGTTGAAGAGTGAGGAGGGCTTCGAATGTCAAATTGGGCAATTCCTTGAGAAGATGCTTGCGTGCGTCGTTCAGCAATTCGCAGTGGAGGAACAAGTGTTTCGCATTGTGTATGCCTTCACCGCAAGGGCACTTGGGAGAGGAGACCAACTGGCAATCAAAAGTTAGCAGGGGCATTGAGAGATGTGACATGAAGAGGAAGATAGTCGCGAGACATGAACAGGTGGAGGGACAGGACGTCGAGGCAAATGCGAAAGGGCCAAGGAAAAAGACAACTTACTCCCATAAAGTGTAGTGTGGCGTTCAGTCCATTGAAGCCCGTCCGAATATGAAGCAACATTGTGCTTTGAGCCTTAGGCATGTCCGCGTACAACTTGGCGTTGTGCTTCCCCCAAAGTCCTTGAAGAGCCGGGTAACTCTCATTGAAGCCAGCAGCTTCACAGAGGTGATGGAGGACGAACTTGTTCCAGAGCTCCTCCGATCTGGTATGAGACAGCTCCTTCACAATCTTGTTGATGAGTCGTCTCAATCTCGCGAGTTGCTGGCCAGGATTGTTCACGATTTTGGGGTCCGCCTCGATCTGCAGCAAAAGCCTTCCAAACGCCGGCCCCAAAACCAGAGCCTGAGCCTCCCGGTACGCAACATTCAACGGATGCGATTCCATGACCTCGGCGGTGAGACCACGGGCATTGGCCACGAAATTCCAACTCTGCAACAGCGCCTGACCCTCGGGCTTGGTGAGGTTCTTGGCTCGGTGCTTCATCGCGCATCCAGCGAGGAATACCGAAAGCCTCTCGATGAACAGCTCCTTGCAGAGGACATCGCCCGAGACTCGCCGATAGGCACCAGAGAGCTGCCTCAAACAATGGTTTTGTTCGGTCTCAAGCTGTTGGAAGAGCTGTTGGCAGAGGGACCACCTGCATCGAGTCCCTTTGGTGCTACGAATAACGTACCAGAGGGCACAACCGTAGGCAAAGATCGGTCGTATGCTGGTGATGTACTGGTGGCAAAGCTTCCGGACATTCGGGCCCCAAGTAGATGCACAGACGCGCCGCATCTGATACATCTTTTGTCTGACCTTGGCGAGAATCTGGAGATGGAGTTAGCCATGAACAAGATTTTAGTTGGAAGAGGAAACTTACATGTGCGATGTGTACATTCCACTTGAGTTGATAGTCCAGATGTAAACCGAGAATCCTCACTGAAGTCTCTGCCTCCTTGGGAAAACCAGACACCTTCGGCATGAGATCCGTGACCGCCAAAGCTCTGCGTGACTGGCACAAGTGCATGACTTTTGTCTTGTCGGCACTGAACTCGGTGCCGTGCAGTGACGTGAACCTCGTCAAACGACGGTATACCAGTCCCAATGCCTTGCAGTTCAACTCATAGGACGAGGATGCAAGAAGGATGGTGATATCATCAACATAGCCTGTGATAACTAGGTCGAAAAGTTGGAAGATGGCCATGTCGTCGTTGCTCTCCAAGGTCCGGCTCTCCCTTAATCTCTTGAGGATAGGTATCGTGAACACCACGAAGAGAATCGGAGACAGAGGGCTGCCCTGAGGGACACCAATCTTGATCCAAAACTTCTTCGACAGCTTGCCTTGAAGACGAACAGTGGTGCTACGTCGAGAAAGGAATTCCCAGATGAATTGTATCATCCAACGAGGGACGCCGTACTCAACAAGCAGAGACAGCAAGTGGTCATGAAGAACACGATTGAAAGCGGCAGTCATGTCGAGAGCGGCGACCGTAACAAAGGCGTTTTTCGCGAGCCAATACTTGTAAATAGCGTTGAGGATGAATTCAAGGGCCTGTGTGGCGTTCTTGTCTCGGAACCCAAACTGTTCGAAGGGTAGAATCCTGGCAGCAAGGAGCCAATCCACCAGTCGAATCGTGAACAGCTTTTCCAGGACCTTAGCGAAAGCGGAGAGAAGAGCAATTGGACGGTAGCTCCCTGGCAAATGCTTCGGCTTCCCAGCCTTAGGTAGCATTACCGTCACTGCCTCCTTGAACTCCTCCGGATGGTATGAGAGGTCTAGGCAGGCTTGCATCGCCCGTTGGAACACAGATGTGACGATATCTTCCGGGTCCTCTTTTGAAGGTAACAGCATCTTGAGTGCATCGATCGAGATACCGTCCTTGCCCTCAGCTTTGTGAGCTGGCATGCCTCGTACGACGCCACGCAACTCTCCGGGCTTCAACCTCTTCTGTGCCGAATCGTCCAGACAAGGACCAGGGATCGGAGGACACTCCAAAATGGGGGGAGGCTCTGTGCCACAACTGTACCGAGGCCAAAGAGTTTCGACTAAATACTCTGCTTTGTCCTCGTGCGAGTAATATTTCCGAGTGTTGTTCTCATCCAGGACTTTTTGCAAGACTGGAATGTGGGAAGGGGCGCGGGGCAGCGATCTGCGGGCGCTCATCCTAGCCAACTGGAAGACGGTCTTGGCTCCAGACGCGACAAACAGGCGGTACTCCTTGGTTCGTTGAGCTCTCTGGTCTCTGATGTACCTATTGTGCCGTCTGTTGGCGGCATTGTCGGCACGTGTTGGGTTGAAAAGTTGATTGCCGACGGCGAGAAAGGCAGGGTCAGCAGGCTTGACCTTGGTGATGAGCACAGGTGTCTTCGTCTTGGGGATTTGCTGGTCTCTCTCTTCGGCCATTATCCGAACGGCCTCGGCAAAAAAGGTGTCGATATGAGCTCGAGACTCCAAAGAAAGGGACTTCAACTCATTTTTGAGGCGGGGTCCAACGGCTGCCTTCCATTCCTTCGGCGAGGCATCCCGCCAGCGGTAGCGCGGATCGTCTAGCGGACGTGTGGTAGTGTCGATCGTAGTTTCCAAAACCCGATGATCTGACTCAAAGCCCTCGACATCGTCGACTCGCCGAAATGAATAAATGTAGGGGGTGAGACCTGGTCCCGAGATAGCGATGTCGATGGTGGACTTGTAAATCTCCGTGTTCTGACCGCGAGTATAGGTAAACTTAATCTCGTCAGGCTTCACAAGACACTCCATGTCGGCAGCCTGAATTCCAATGGCAAGGTCTGTGGCATCCTTATTTGGAGGTTTTGCGAGTTTCCCAGCCCACAGATCATGCTTCAGATTGGAATCCCCGAGCATGAGATCGAAACCGGAGACGGTGCATGCCCGTAGAAGAGCTTCAATGTCGAGTTGGCGAATTCCGTTCTCGTAGGCATTATAAAAGTTGTGGATGGCAAGGGTAGCCTCTAAACGCGTCTCAAGACGTAGGGTGCATAGCAGAGTTCTGTTGACGTCTCCCGTGTACCAGTCGACGGTCCAGTCGTGCATTGGGATACGTGAAGACACGAGGAATGCGACTTTGTACAGTGGCACCACCTTCATCAACTTCCGCTCTGCCTTATCGCGAAGCGAGCGTGCGGGTTTTGCTGTCATGGAGTCGATGGTATATGGATTGTTGTAGGTGGTGAGTTCGCCGTCGCCTGTGTGCTCCCAAACAATATGGTACTGCTTGAAAAGGTCGCACCATGGAAGATGAGGCGGCGGATCCTGAAGAGCCACAACATCCCAAGGGTTGCGTTCCATGTAGGCATTGAGAGCTGTCAGGCGAAGTGGGGCTTTCTTGACGTTGATCTGGGCAACTTTCAAACGAGACCGTTGCCAAGCGGAGGCCACGCAGGTGGGCTGGATGGTAGACCCGGGAGGACCGATAGGCATGATGAGCTGCTAGATTGAAACGAAGGAAAAAAGACAGTGAAGAAGTGTGAAGCAGCAATAGTCTTCAGGTGTGACCGTATCAGACTCATTGTGCGCTGAAACTATAATGTGGTAGACTTTGGCACAGTGAAAAGGGGAAAGAGGTGTAACAAGAAACGTAGTGGTTGTGATTGATGAAAATTATCATCGGAGTGGCAATATATATCCCAGAGTTCTCTTTGAGGCTTGACATGGAACAGTGAGAGAGATAACGACATCCCCTTGGCAATATTCCCTTGGGTGAAGTGACACTTCGAGTTCGAAAGATTGGTGAATGCAACATCAGTGACAAATCCAGCCACCTAACAAAAGCCTGACTGCGCAATCTAGGTACCGCTACATTGGTAAGTGATGGTGGCATTGTACACAGTGCAAAACCTCCGACCAATTGTAAAGAGAGTGTTATCTTTCGCGTTACCTAACAATTTGTTGAACCCAGCAACTTCGATCCCTCTCTCCGTGGATTGCTAAGTGCTCACAGCAAACGTGACAGATGGGAAAGAGACCATCCATTCCGACTGGAGACGTGATAAAACCCTTGACTCCACTCACATACCAGGAAGCTTGAGCGCCAGATTTAACAGCCGAAATACATACTGATACAACGAGATACAACCAGAAAAGAAACGTTGAATTGAGCAATCTTCCCCTCTTCCCCTATTCCCTGCTTCCCACCTTCCTATCTAGTTTTACAAATGGAACGACCTGACATACAATTTCTGCAAACCTGCATGAGGGTTTCCTTGGTAGTCTGTTATCTCCAACCGGCGCTTGAAGGATCGCCGTAATGGCGGTGAGGTGACCTCGGAAATCATTTGCCGTATCACTTTCTCAATGCGCCACCTAAATTCCGCTCTGCCTGCATCTGAACCTTCTTGGAATTATCCCAGGTCCCCATCAACATGCAAATGTTGCAGGTTCACAAACAAGCTCCCATGCGGGGCTCTAGTGAAGATCATGGCCCTGATGAATCGGTCCATTTTTGGGTGGAAAACAGCTGTCGACGCCGCTGCCGCAGACACCTGACCATCAACCAGTCGACGCTTACCACAATCCATGCAGCCATCTTGGCATCATTCATCAAATTGGCCTAGAGCGCCGGGACGAAAGTGAGGACCCGGGTGATCTGATCAGCACTCTAAACCTCGGCAAAGAAAATTGTGTCCACGTTTGCGATGTGACCAGTCAACCATCTATATCGTGTACAATTTCGTCGGAACCATTCCATTTGACAGAATAGCGCCTTCTCGGGGGAAATGAGAAAGAAATCCATGAAATTTCAAGTGTGAACATGTTTCCATAAAGCAAGATACTGTCCCCAAGATGAGCACACGAGAATGCTGTGACAAAGATACCTAGAAACGCAGCGAAAACCCTTATCACCCCAATCAAAATGATAGTTGTGATGATACGCAGGCCGAAGAGCGTACTTGCCATCTTTGTGACTGAGTCGGTCTGACGGGTTGCTTGTGGTGTAAATGTCTTTCGACGTGTTCTTTGCCAGTTGGGTCAAGTGAATTCGTCAAGCTGACACCTAATCACTACAAGGACCTAATTGTGGTGATCATGTTGAGTTCTGGAGGAACAAACAGTACATTTCACTCTACGTTTCTCTATCTTCCATCAGAACCCTACCTGCGCATCATCGTCAATGACATCCCCATACTCTGAGTCATCTTCGTCAGACACAATTATCACCACATTATCACCGGCTTGCTCCCTCTCTTGACCAGGCGAACTGCTCGGGACCATGTAGTCCGTAATGTGCCCAGTGCGGGAAGCTGCTCCCGAGGCGGCATGTCGCGAACGCTTGACCTCAGAAGGGCCAGAACGGCTCTCGTTGTTCCTCCTATGGGCTTTGGCAGAGCCCTGGGCTGCATTGGTCCCAGATTGCTCCATAGAGGCAGCAGCCTGTCTTTCCTTGGCAGTTTGCATCGTCAAGGCAGCTTGCTTTGCCATCTCAGCACTGTTCCTGTCCTCTACTGCTGTCCTTTTGTAGATCTGGAAGACAGGCATGCCCCAGTCTGGGGGGACGCTTGCGGAGGCATTGCAAAGTTTGCGCATCTTTACCGTTGCTTGATCCATACAGTCATTGCTCCAAGCTTCGTGTTTTGTGTTGATTTTGAATAGGGGGTTATGGATCTGGTTGGCTTTCAAAGTTCGAGAGCAGTTGGGACAGCACTTGGGCTGTTGACAATCTTTTGCCAATGTCGCATGATCTCCGCCACAACGTCCGCAAGACCGCGGCATCAGGCACTCGTCCTGCATATGATTCGGCATGTAGCAATTGAAGCAGTAATAAGGCAGAGCTTTCTTGTCGAATGGCCTGTGAACACGGACGTTAGCCATCTTTCCTCGTGAGTTCTCTAGACAGACTTACATAACGTATCCAACCTGACCATCGAGATACACCCTCTGTCCGCACAGCGCCAAAGCTTCATCGACGTCAGCGAATGACAGGTAAACTATTCCGTAAGACTTTTTAACTCCCATGAGGGAATGAAGCCTGTTTTCCGTCCTCAGCTTTTCCAAAGCATTCGGGACGCCATCGATGGTGAAGTCGTATGCCCGTACTAACCACAGATCGTGGAGCATCATTGGGATGGGCATGTCAAGCAAATTGCTCAAAATCCTGATGTTTTCCGGAGAGGCAGCAGCGGCAGCGGCGTCACCACTGAAAAAGACGAACTCCATGATTTTCTGCTTTCCCTGAGGAATGACCACCGCTCGCACATCAGTCCAAGGAGGTGTCACAAGTCTGCGGAGGACGGTCGAATTGCCATTCGCGCCCAAGCCCCTGAGCATGGCGAGTTTGCCGTCGTCTTTGATCTTCACTTTAAGACGAGGGGGATTGGGAAGTTGTTGGAGACCGAGGAGTGTGCCGTAGTAAATGCGAAGACTATCGAAAAGGAGCGAGAAGTCCGTGACGCCCATTGGAGCTGCCGAAGCCTGGGGAAGCCTTTCTTCGGCAATGTTCTTCCAGAGCAACTTGACCTGACGCGGTGGGAGCGAATTGATCATTTGCACTATCGTCAGGAGCTGGACGTTGTTCTCGCTTTCTGCGGTCGAGTGTTAGTTCGGAATTGCTAAGGACGTTCGGGTCAAAACCCAATTACCTTGTTCAAGCGAAGGCGGCTTAACAGGGGATCCAGTGGACTGAGGCCCTGCTGGCTGAGAGAAATCGGATTGAGCCATGGCAAACTGGTCAAATGATGCAGAGAAAAGGTTGATTGAGTGGCGTTGAAGAAGTTCGTGACGGACTTAGCAAGGAGTCCCTGAGTGGAGGAAAGAGCACTAAAGGCAATAAGACCAGTGTTCGGTTCAGTAAGAGTGATGATGTGAATCAAGCGTATGATGAGCGATCCCGTGTGTTATAGCGAGTTCAGAGGTGATGAGGGGTGCAATGTCTCTGGAACCCTACAGGTGTCATCGAGAATCAGGCGACTTGAGTCAAACGCTGAGACTGCCGGGCGATCAAGATATCTCCCCGGGCAGAAAGTGGAACACCGAAGAAGGCCCTAACAGCGCCCTGCAGTATCGCATGCAGAACTAGGGGTTTCTTCTCCGCCCAATCCCTGGGAGACCGCTTTTAGCGCCATGTAGTGGTTGCACTCGGAACTTGGGGTCCATTAGATTCCTTGGGGGCGGGGCCGCTTTTGTCGCGTGGCTATTCAAGCGCCTGCCGATGGTCGCTAGTTGCCTGAATAAGTAAATGCGTGAAAATAGTAGCGTGATCGCTCCACTTAAATCTGGCCTTCGACGATTCATCAGGTCCAGCCAGATCTTGGTTCTGCAGGGTCTGTTATCTTAAAGTGGACCGACCAGGATGGCCACTGTTCAACGGATTAATTACTCACCAACACGACGACTGCAAGATCGCGCGTGACCTGAATGTTTGCGCATATGCGCCAATGTTTGCTTCTCTTCCTTCAAAATGACGTGGCAATTTGTTGCGGTCAAAGAGCGTCGGATATTAGCCCTCGCCGATTATTTACGAGATCAGATTGCGTGTTCCTCCCAATCTCCGAGGTGATCGCCGTGAGGATGCTGGCCTGAATTTCGCAGAATCTGGGTTTGATGGCTCCGCAATCTATGCACGGTAATCACAAGTCTGCGATCAATTAACCGTAGGTGGCGTAGAGCTTTATCCAGACAAGGAAAGTCTCAGAGACAACCCAATCTGTGGACACGAACCCTGAGGCGTCCCGCTGAGACTGTTCTCTGATGTCTTTGCCAATCGCTTGACGCCTGAGGATATCTCTTGGCCTTGCTAATGAACTGGGATGTGAATGCACCTCCGCGTCTCAATCCACGAGATTGATTCTGGGAACCATTTTCGATCATCCGGAATATCCTCTCATGAAAAATGCAAACTCAAATCACTCCAGGTAAAACGGTAACCGAAGATCAAAACGTCCAGAAGTCAGAATTGACTCACACTCCAATCGTCTATCCAAGTTGCTCCTCGTTTTTCCGAAAATTGAAAATGTTGACACACGTATATTGCTGGGCAGAGAGTTTCGCCGCGACTTGATGACGTGGATCCCACCGGCAAGCCGATTGTGCCTGGATATGCCTCTTCAAAATGCATTTGATTTCAGTGTGCCTTAACAGTCAAACAGGTTTTCTAGCGTCACCATCTTACTTTTTAACAAAATAGTCTATCGATAAATCACAATCGCAACAAACAAAATCTCAATCATCAACCGATCCCTAAGCGCACCAAAGTGAACAGCCAAGCGTTCACTTTTCCAGTCTGTTCAGCATGGCCTCCACCAGGTCCTTGTAGTTTGCCAGAATCTCAGCTTGTTCTTTGTAGCGTGCGCAAACTTCAGCCTGTTCCTGAAAGATTGCCCGATGCTGCTGAAAAATTGCCTTCTGCTTCTCAAGAATCGACTGCTGCTTCTGTAGAATTGTCTGCAACGCCTGGACTGTCGTGCCGTCCTCGGCATTGGTCTTGA